TGAGAACTAGGGAATGTCGAAGCCATAATTTTAGTTTAGGGTTTCAGTTTTTTTGAAATTAAGTTTTAATTTTTAAAAAGTCTAGCAGCCGACGCTAGCAATTTAAAGTATTTTCAACGCTGGTTTAACTAACAGCTGGTTTATAACTGGCATTAAAATGTTTATGTTACGAGTTGTTTGTTTACAAAAATATTGTTCGTTGGTGTTTGCCTACATACTATTTCACTTTAAAATGTAGGTAGTTTTCCCCTACCGTGAAGGATATGCGTTATCAGGAAATGTATTATTTTGAACTAAACATCTCAAACACTTGCATTTAATCAAGTTTTGTCGTAAATGCAATCTGTGTAAGTATTTAGTTTATGCATTGCAAATTTCAACTCATATTTGGGAAATATTTTTTCAGCAGTTATCGCTTAATTGTTTAAGATATAAGTGGTTTACGTGTTGATACTTCGTTTTCTGTATGTTTGAATGTGAGTATGTCGGCATACTACAATTTTGGTTAGTAATGAAAGCGTCAATCGGTGTATTAGGTCTCTATAAAACTGTCAAATAAACTGCAGGGTGCAGCAGAAACCAAAGTCGACTCATACCATACCAACTATCCCCGCAGTGCTGATGATTCAGAAACTTGGGCACTGACCAAAGAACCGAAAAACCTTAATGCCGGGTTAGATAATAAAGTGCAGAGAAAATATACAGACCAGTTCAAGATAACGGCCCGGAGGTCGAAATAAAAAAGAACAGAGAGCTAAGGGAAATGTGTTAACACCCAAATATAGGGATGCTTTCCAGAAGTAGGTAAAGCTTGGATGGACAGACTGTGCATAAACTTTTAAAAAGTATATTCCAAGGAGTACCACACGATAGACGGGAAATATCAAGTTATGAAATGCATCCTCAGACTGATCTAAGTTTTGAAGAGGCAGGTGATAGAAGATATACGGTAAGTACATAAGTAGTACAGTATGCAATTGGAGGTGGCATGTAACTACTCTACTCAAAACCAGCGTGAATCGGTCGCCAATCTCACTTCAAGATTTTTCAAATCGACACAAATGCTGTTTTATGGTAAAGTTATCGGATTTAAAATGCATATCGCCATATTTTAGGTCTATATTCGAATGGAATAAATAGGTGGTCAAGTTACATTTGTTTATAAGGTGATCTTCCCCATTAAAACTGCCAGAATTTGTGTCTATGCGTGTAAACTAGATGTTCTGAATTATTCCGTTTTAGTTGACAACTTGATTCCCGTACGTAGGACGGGCCACCAGCTCGTTTGTTATAAATTTAAACATTTTTAACAGCTGATCCTTCAGTTAAATGTTTAACCACAATTTGATTGTAAACAAGGGATAAAAAAGTTAATAAATTTAATTAAAAGCTGGACGTAGGTACTTGGTAGAGGTGTCTACAGAAGGGACTTGGTCTGTAAAGGTGTCATGAAAAGAGAAACTATGTCAATTCCCTTGGAGCTCTGCCCCAGCGGCCTTTAAGTTCCCTTCCCGTGTTATTCTTATGAAGAAAAGAAGCTCGTATTTTGTATACCCTAATTTGAGAGAATAGTTAGGCGTAAAAACTTGGTAGATGTGTCTAAACAAAGGTCTTGGTGTCAGACGTGTCATCAAAAGAAAAACTATGTCAATTCTCTTGAGGCTCTATCCCAGTGGCATTTGAATTTATCTTGCCACGTATCAAGCATTAAGTTTCTACTTAGCTCAAGGCAACAAACATTTTATTATAAGTTAAGGTAAATACTGGTTTACTAAATTTAGCTTTGGTCTTAATCTAAATTAGTGTAATTGTATCCCTTTTTACCAAATTTACGCTTATATTTATATTTCTGACCTACTTAAAAACTACTTTTAGAATAAGTTTATGTTATGGTATTCCTCTTGACGAAATGATTGATATGACATATATACCCTACTTTATTTTTATTCCCTGATTTTTAAAGAGTCGCCATTGAAGTTTTTTCACGTCGTACAAAATTATTTATTAAACAATACAATAACTGTAAAATGTTAAGATTAAGCAATGTACAAACCAATTTAGATTAAATCTTCAACATATGTTTATTTATATAAAAAGCACACCTTTTACATAAAATCTCGAATCGTTGATTATTCAGCCCATTGCATGTTGTACTTAGGGCAACAATAACATTCAAATGTAAAAAAAAAATTAAAGTAAAATAATTTAGTAAACATCGTGAACATTAAAATAAGCTATAACAAAGCAGAAATGTTTTAATATATTTTCACCCACAATTTCTTTTATTTCAGCCGTCTTCCATTATTGTACTAGAATACTTATCACACGCTTAATAAACTTACATAAAAATACACAAATTTGTAAATTGCTAAGTAAAAATATGATTGACATCAACACTCTAAGACAGAAAGAAAACGTCTCAATAATTGACAACGTTATCCCTGCTTATAATATAGTATAGAGTACATTGCAGACAATTGACTGACAAATAAGTCATCCAAATGTTAATATTGCGTACTGGCTGAATAACGATCAGTTGTATTAAAATATACAAAAATCAGCAGTAAATTTTTTCTAATGCTATTCTTGTGGTGAACATTTTTTGTTTTATATAAATTTGTGTTCACCATTTTTCCTGCCGTCGCAGGATAGAGACCTTTAATTTTAGCCCTTTCCCGTCGTTTCTACGACTTCCCAGTCGCCTACAATTTTGACGCAAACAATCGCCTTACGTAATCTTATCTTACAAATATTATAAATGTGAAAGTTTTTGTGTTTGTTTGATTGTTTGTTTGTTTGTTTGTTTGAAGTTCAATCACGCATTAACTACTGGACGGATTGGGCTGAAATTTAGGATGATGATAGCTCACATTCCCGATCAATAGGCATATTTTTACCTCAAACATTCTTTCGGGATTCGCCCCAGTGGCTCTGCAGTTCCCCATGTTAACCTTATGAGTATTCATATATAAAGGGAATTAACGAATTTAGTCAGCTGTTTCAAATAAAAATGTTGGTTCTATGATATGCAATGGAATTATAAGTTATAAGGTTTACCCACAGGGTGCAGCCCTATTATTTTTGCATTTATGAAATCAGATAGTTTGAACTAAGCAGCAACAAAAAACTGTGATGCACAGTAATAACTGTCAAAGTAAAATTGTTTACAGTTATGTTAATGTTTTTAATTTCATGAATTATTTGTGATATTTTCGAATTTTAAATCATTTATTTTTCTCTATTGTTTAAGTGAAGGGGTAAAACAAATACTATAGTAAAGGCTATGGTAGATAAAATGTATACCGTAAATTCAAAGAAGCAAATTTTATCAAACTGTGTCCTCCCCCATTGCAAATGAAAGAGTATAACTTGAAATAGTATAACTAAAAGCATTATTATCTCCTTTTATCTATGCTTATATGCCAACCCCGTACGAAGGACGGGTACTCTGCTAGTTTAATATATAGATTTTCTACTGCATATTATGTTTCGTAACAATTGTTTAATCTCAACCAACTTTGTGCTTCTAAAATCGAAGCCTCAACGCAACTAAGTAACAATATAATATTAAATCATTTAATATGCAAAATCTCAATTTCAAAGGAACATTTAAATAATCCTTATCAAGTTAACTTAATACATTTTTAAAGGTTTTAAGTACCTTTTTGACTACATTCATGTATTATTTATGACATTACAGAAAGATCATCGGGAAGATACTTGTCAATCGTATGTTACGAACATTGGGAAGAATATTTGATTTTGTTGTACAATAAAAAATCATGCGTTGCCTGTATGAGCTGTGTTCACATTGTTGGTGAACAAATGGCAATCTGATTGATCTTTATTAGAAGTTCTTCGTGGAGAACTTTATAGAATATAGATGTATTTATTTGGAAATTGGTTTTAGTTTGTCTCCACTAAATCGAGAGATAGTTGGGCGTAGGAACTTGGTTTAGGTGTATAAAGAAAGGTGTATAGGATGTGCCGTCAACAAAGAAATACGCTTTATTTCCCAGTGGCTCCCTTTAAAGTTCCTTTTCCATGTTGCTCTTATGGAACAAAGATTTGTTTATATTTTGACCTGATGGATAATTGTAGACCTACACTATACTTAATTTAACTGTACAAGTGTTAAGTGTGTGTGTGTGTGTGTGTGTGTGTGTGTGTGTGAGTGTCCGTCCGGACGATTACTTGAGTAATTTTTGTATGATTTTGATAAAATTTTGTTTTAAGGTGTAAGGTGGGATGAGCTTGAATGAGTTCGCGAAGCAGCATGATCGGACCATGGGAACGGGGTTTAACGGAGGATTTATCGGGTAAAAATTGGGTTTTCTCCCTTAAAACACAAACTTTTTTCTCCAGACCTTTTTAAAGAGCTTAAAAAACAAATAATGAAGTATATCAAAGTGTTTTTGTACGGTGATTGGTTACGGAGAAAAAAAAATCATTTAAAATTCCCATGTTATTCTTATGGAAAATATCGTAAAATGTTGTAGTTGGCTTCTTTATGTCTTTATATTTTGGTCAAACTTAGCGGATTTATTTATTTCATACTAAGCTATTGATATTTTAATTAAAAACACACTTTATTAGTTTCCCTGTAGCACCTAACCTAAGTACTCGTTAAACATAAATGTTAATTTAATAGATTAATTAAAAATCAATCCAGGCAAATGTAAATTCGCTTAGTTGGCAGGTTTGCTGCAGCGGGGGTATTTGTTTACGTATTGAGTTTATATGTTGAGAAATTACCAAAACTGTAACTATTGTTTCTATACTTCTGTGTAATTTTATGATATTAACATATTTTGGAATTTGCATATCAGTTGGATCTCTATCAAATAGAACACATTTCTTTAATAGAAGGCCACATTAAATTTAAACCTAATATCACTTTTCTATTGCTGTATTTGAACACTTCGGTATGAGCATATTTTTACACATATGTATAAAACCTGCATGTTTTAATGTAAACGGTATAAGCCAAAAATATAGCATTTCAGGCTGATTGTTATTGCTTTATTCTCTGATTTAATGCATAGTTAAGTAGCATGTATGAGTGCCCCATGGTTTCAACTGCAGCAACTAGGTGGGATTGGTGATATCTTTGATGATTTCGTGATGAAGACCCTAGTAAATTCCTCCGCTACCGTCGGATGAATGCCAACTGTTTCTTGCAGCTGCTTGAAGGTTAATCCAGCCCTAAAATAGTATTTTAAGATATAATAACTAGGACTAGTAGAGATTGATAATTTTAAAACTAAGATAAACAAATTTGCTAACTTAATGCAGATATAAGGAAAATTGATGTAACATCAAAAATATAAAGACTCTGGTGATATCTTACTAATATTATAAATGTGAAAGTTTGTGTGTTTGTTTGTTTGAAGTTCAATCACGCATTAACTACTGGACGGATTGGGCTAAAATTTGGCATGATGATAGCTCACATTCCCGATTAACATATAGGCATATTCTTATCTGAAAAATCATTTCGGGCTCCGCCCCAGTGGCTCTGTAGTTCCCCCTGTTAACCTTATGAGTATATATATTTAAAGAGAGTTAAAGAGTTTAGTCAGCTGTTTCAACTGAAAAAGTTGGTTCTATGATATGCAAAAGCATTAAAAAAATAATAATAAGAATTACCAACAGGATTCAGCACTATTATTTTTCTGTATTTATGTTAACAGCTAATGTAATACGCAATGAGAACTGTCAAAGTAGGATTGTTTACAGTTATGTTTATGTTTTTAATTTAATGAATAATTTGTGATATTTTGTGACTTTTTAATAATTTATTTGTCTCTATTGTTTAGGTGAATTGGTAGAAGATTATGGCTATGGTAGATGTGTAATACTATAGTATACCGTAAATTTAAGAAGCAAATTTTATCAAACTGTGTCCTTCCCCATTGCAAACGCTAAGCTTGAGTATAACTGCAATAAGCATTTTATACTTATATACCAACCCCGTACGAAGGACGGGTACTCTGCTAGTTTATTTATAAATTCAAAGAAAATAAGTTTTTTTGGTAATTTTATAGATACTCACCCACTTTTACTTTTACTACTTTTACACTTTTACTTTTTTATAGTTGTATGATTCCATGAATCTAAAGTAGTGAGCAACACACGTTAAATGAGATTATAGACTTTTGCTTTTCTTACAATGATAAACCAAATCATAAACAGTTTTGCTAGAAGAACAGAAAATGCCTCGAGCTCAAAGAAGAAATATTGAAAACAGGAGGAGGAGACGTCTAATAAAAGATCGTATGCCTATGTGGAGAGTAGAATAAGAGAGGGTTGGTCTGACAGTACGGAATCCAGATAAAAACACACACACTTGGTGATATAAATAGTATGTGCCAGTTCTGCTATGCAACTTATTTTGGAAGTGAAAAAATACATGAATAATAATACACAAAATATATAATTGGTCTCAAGTCGAGGTATTACCATAAGGCCTAAGCTAATAGCTAATTCCCTATATGGGAAATTTGCTAAAATAAAAAATGAATTTTGATGTTTATTTGTTTTCACGTCCAGTGCCTTTGGATGACTGAAATCTGTCATCGCATGCTGATTGGTTCCTGGAATCTGGAACCCAATTTCAGCTGTCTCTAGTAGACATTTCTGAATTTCGATATGACTAATCAAAGTCATTTTAAACTTAATTGAGGTATAATTAATAAATATACATAGTCTCTGTGAAAATTTTGAAAAGTAGGGCACTCTTGACATTGTGGATTGCTAAATTCTTCCACTGTCACACAGAGTTTGTAAAAGCGAGTCGAACGCTCGTACTGCCCAGTGAATGCTGGAATCTCGTAATGAACACGTTCCACGCAAATCACATTTACTGTTGTCTCATGGTGGTCTTCGGACCTATCCATGACTGAAGAGACTAAAATAAAGTCGAAACAACAGAGCACACTTCTAATCCTGAAAGATGGATTAGTCGTATTGGACATAGCGCAGGCTCAATCAAATTTCGAATCTACAAACCACACACGAACATGGATCGTACACACCCGAGACGGTACGTGTGACAATCTCAATGCTCGGAGAGGTTGAGATTTTGGTTTTGTAATTTGAAAGAACATTCAAAAGAATGTAATTGAAAATTGGCAAGGGATTCGTCCCATTTACCTTCAAAAAGATTAACCTGTAATGAAGCGCTTGTCTTATCCCCTCACAATAACGCGTAACCGGGTTTTAGACGTAGGGCAGATGCTGATCTTAATTGCAGCTATCAACCACGAAAGCTATATGCTGTGGGAACCCTCACGATCGCCGGACAGGCAGATGCCGCCCACACGAATTGTGTAGAAGAGCCTAAACGTGCTACTGTTTGATGATATCAGTGATTCTAAAATTGCAGTCTGATTGAGAAGACTGACCAGCTCCGCTGGATTTGCAACTACATCACCTGTCACAATCACTTTAACCAATTAATAATTTTGAGTGACTTGTAACATTAGGTGCAAGTGTTTGGCTTCGCAACCTTCTAAATTCTAAATTAATTTTGCAGGTTAGATGTATTGGTCACGAAACTCGTTCTTGGGGTTATACGTGCGAAAAGACGCCCTAGTGGCGGAATCACTCTTGCAACGTAAAAGGTGCGATTATACGCATAGCGATATCATCTGTTTCGGTCTCAGGGCTAAACAGCCCATACCTCATCAGGTGCACACTTTAGTGCACGACAGATTGAATTATAATATGTTGAGGACGGATTAAATTTTTCATCGTCCAACTGAAATTTTGAATTTTGATGTTTCTAAATTTTGAAAAGATGAAATTGTCAACTTAGAGTTGACCAGGCACACCTGAGTATTTACTCATTGTTCTTGAATTATTGTGGACGGACTCATCAATTTTGATGTTTATTTGTTTTCACGTCCAGTGCCTTTGGATGACTGAAATCTGTCATCGCATGCTGATTGGTTCCTGGAATCTGGAACCCAATTTCAGCTGTCTCTAGTAGACATTTCTGAATTTCGATATGACTAATCAAAGTCATTTTAAACTTAATTGAGGTATAATTAATAAATATACATAGTCTCTGTGAAAATTTTGAAAAGTAGGGCACTCTTGACATTGTGGATTGCTAAATTCTTCCACTGTCACACAGAGTTTGTAAAAGCGAGTCGAACGCTCGTACTGCCCAGTGAATGCTGGAATCTCGTAATGAACACGTTCCACGCAAATCACATTTACTGTTGTCTCATGGTGGTCTTCGGACCTATCCATGACTGAAGAGACTAAAATAAAGTCGAAACAACAGAGCACACTTCTAATCCTGAAAGATGGATTAGTCGTATTGGACATAGCGCAGGCTCAATCAAATTTCGAATCTACAAACCACACACGAACATGGATCGTACACACCCGAGACGGTACGTGTGACAATCTCAATGCTCGGAGAGGTTGAGATTTTGGTTTTGTAATTTGAAAGAACATTCAAAAGAATGTAATTGAAAATTGGCAAGGGATTCGTCCCATTTACCTTCAAAAAGATTAACCTGTAATGAAGCGCTTGTCTTATCCCCTCACAATAACGCGTAACCGGGTTTTAGACGTAGGGCAGATGCTGATCTTAATTGCAGCTATCAACCACGAAAGCTATATGCTGTGGGAACCCTCACGATCACCGGACAGGCAGATGCCGCCCACACGAATTGTGTAGAAGAGCCTAAACGTGCTACTGTTTGATGATATCAGTGATTCTAAAATTGCAGTCTGATTGAGAAGACTGACCAGCTCCGCTGGATTTGCAACTACATCACCTGTCACAATCACTTTAACCAATTAATAATTTTGAGTGACTTGTAACATTAGGTGCAAGTGTTTGGCTTCGCAACCTTCTAAATTCTAAATTAATTTTGCAGGTTAGATGTATTGGTCACGAAACTCGTTCTTGGGGTTATACGTGCAAACCATGTTCGTGTGTGGTTTGTAGATTCGAAATTTGATTGAGCCTGCGCTATGTCCAATACGACTAATCCATCTTTCAGGATTAGAAGTGTGCTCTGTTGTTTCGACTTTATTTTAGTCTCTTCAGTCATGGATAGGTCCGAAGACCACCATGAGACAACAGTAAATGTGATTTGCGTGGAACGTGTTCATTACGAGATTCCAGCATTCACTGGGCAGTACGAGCGTTCGACTCGCTTTTACAAACTCTGTGTGACAGTGGAAGAATTTAGCAATCCACAATGTCAAGAGTGCCCTACTTTTCAAAATTTTCACAGAGACTATGTATATTTATTAATTATACCTCAATTAAGTTTAAAATGACTTTGATTAGTCATATCGAAATTCAGAAATGTCTACTAGAGACAGCTGAAATTGGGTTCCAGATTCCAGGAACCAATCAGCATGCGATGACAGATTTCAGTCATCCAAAGGCACTGGACGTGAAAACAAATAAACATCAAAATTGATGAGTCCGTCCACAATAATTCAAGAACAATGAGTAAATACTCAGGTGTGCCTGGTCAACTCTAAGTTGACAATTTCATCTTTTCAAAATTTAGAAACATCAAAATTCAAAATTTCAGTTGGACGATGAAAAATTTAATCCGTCCTCAACATATTATAATTCAATCTGTCGTGCACTAAAGTGTGCACCTGATGAGGTATGGGCTGTTTAGCCCTGAGACCGAAACAGATGATATCGCTATGCGTATAATCGCACCTTTTACGTTGCAAGAGTGATTCCGCCACTAGGGCGTCTTTTCGCACGTATAACCCCAAGAACGAGTTTCGTGACCAATACATCTAACCTGCAAAATTAATTTAGAATTTAGAAGGTTGCGAAGCCAAACACTTGCACCTAATGTTACAAGTCACTCAAAATTATTAATTGGTTAAAGTGATTGTGACAGGTGATGTAGTTGCAAATCCAGCGGAGCTGGTCAGTCTTCTCAATCAGACTGCAATTTTAGAATCACTGATATCATCAAACAGTAGCACGTTTAGGCTCTTCTACACAATTCGTGTGGGCGGCATCTGCCTGTCCGGCGATCGTGAGGGTTCCCACAGCATATAGCTTTCGTGGTTGATAGCTGCAATTAAGATCAGCATCTGCCCTACGTCTAAAACCCGGTTACGCGTTATTGTGAGGGGATAAGACAAGCGCTTCATTACAGGTTAATCTTTTTGAAGGTAAATGGGACGAATCCCTTGCCAATTTTCAATTACATTCTTTTGAATGTTCTTTCAAATTACAAAACCAAAATCTCAACCTCTCCGAGCATTGAGATTGTCACACGTACCGTCTCGGGTGTGTACGATCCATGTTCGTGTGTGGTTTGTAGATTCGAAATTTGATTGAGCCTGCGCTATGTCCAATACGACTAATCCATCTTTCAGGATTAGAAGTGTGCTCTGTTGTTTCGACTTTATTTTAGTCTCTTCAGTCATGGATAGGTCCGAAGACCACCATGAGACAACAGTAAATGTGATTTGCGTGGAACGTGTTCATTACGAGATTCCAGCATTCACTGGGCAGTACGAGCGTTCGACTCGCTTTTACAAACTCTGTGTGACAGTGGAAGAATTTAGCAATCCACAATGTCAAGAGTGCCCTACTTTTCAAAATTTTCACAGAGACTATGTATATTTATTAATTATACCTCAATTAAGTTTAAAATGACTTTGATTAGTCATATCGAAATTCAGAAATGTCTACTAGAGACAGCTGAAATTGGGTTCCAGATTCCAGGAACCAATCAGCATGCGATGACAGATTTCAGTCATCCAAAGGCACTGGACGTGAAAACAAATAAACATCAAAATTGATGAGTCCGTCCACAATAATTCAAGAACAATGAATAAAAAATGAATTGAAACGAGGTTTAAGGGTATTGCAATTTTGCTAAGTCTAAAAAATATAAGAGTTCAGTGTGCCAATACTAAATTATCAATAAAATTTATATTATGCTATGTATTGATACCTTAACGCAGCGGCGAATCCTTGCATCACTTCCCCAGCCGATGGACCCAGTATATGCATTCCCAAGATCTCGCCTTCAATTTCCTGCTCTCTGTGTAATTCTTGCTGTACTTCCTTTCCTTGCTGTTCTTGCTGTTCTACCTTTCCTTGCTGATCTTCTTTTACTTGCTTTTCTTTCCCACTTTGCTTTTTGGGTGTCTTTACTATAACCTTCAAATAACAACTATTTTGACCTCTATGTGCAACTGTAAACTCCAAAGGAGTGAATATAGAATGATATATCTGAAATCAACAGCAATCTCTATCAACTCCTATAATATAATATCACTCTCTTTAAAATCACCATCCAAAAACATATTGCAAACATGCTTATGATGACATATTATTTGTTTCGATTCCAACAGATATCGTTTTTATCTCCTTGTCTCGAGTGTTGACCCACCTTCCCACATTTCTTTGTCAGCGTCCCTTTACGCTAAACTAACCTTATTATAGTCTACTTTATATAGATCTACAACTATAATCATAGTTATAATATTAAAAAAATGTCACCCATTGTGTTTTATATTCGTTAAGTTTGTATATTCTCAAAGTCAAAATGATTTAGTTATTAAAATTGAGTTTTAATACTTAGTAGTTTTACAACCGTACTAGAACAGTGCATTGAATGAAATAAAGTGTGTAAAGTAAATAAACGGTATCCTCAATCTGACACATACATTCTCCTATTAGCTTGTCAGCGTAGGTAAGCTGTGGGAGTTGTTATAATACTTTATAGGAAAAATCGCTAAAGTTTTCAATAGCTTTTTAAATGTAATTTTTAAAGCATTAAGGGGTTGTACAGTTTTGTTTAGAGCTTAATGAATTATGATATTCTAAATTTTAAACAAAACCATTCAGCCACTGTCGTACAAAATCTATTTTTTAATTATTTTATGAAAAAATCCAAATTAAAATTCATAAAATCCGAAACAATTTCGAAAATAAAATATTGGACACTTCATTGTATACGCATAACAAATATCATTGAAATCGGACCACAGTTGTGGTCTGTAGCGCTGTACACACACGCGCATACCCACACATGCACACACACACACACACCCACACACACACACACAGAGACAACACTTCGAAAACCAATTTTCTTGGTTCAGGGGACCCAAAGCAGATATTTAGCTACTGTTTACACCCAAAACTCGTACTCCTAAATTTTGACGAAAACAATACTTTTCCATGTAATGTGTATAAGAAAGAAATAAATTACTAGCCTATTACAAAAGTATTTGCTGTGCTAATATGCTGTAGTCGTGTAAAACTTCTTTATGGAGTGAGAACGTACCTCAATCGTGTATGCTGTACCACTGTAGGCATTTTTTGCACTATTCTCAGTCTTTCCCACGAAGCTGTACTCGAGTGGGGTGAACACTGTGGTCGGTACGTTCTCATACACCATTTGCACTTTACTGTTACCGAACAGCCTCCTCACCAGCAGCTGACCAGCTTTTATAGCCACTGGCGTCAACTCGGGCTTGTTCTGTAACATTCAAACTTACAGATTTCACTGTTCACTTTATTTTAAATGCAATACAATGAGGAAATAGTTAGTCGGGTAACTAGTGCGCAAAGTTTCACTTTGCGTTTGTGTTATGCATTGTATTTTTCCTACACTTACTATAAAGCATACAACGGGGGTTCGCCGAATTTCATGCTAACATTTCGTTTTGGGACAGCTCAGCTAATTCATATGTTAGAGAGATGATTTTTGCGTTGAATGGTTCCTTAATAATAGCATTTTTGTTTATTATAAGTTGTTCAAACTATTCAACATTTCTAATGGAGGTGGCATACAAATAAATAATGAGTGAAATATATGCAATGTCAAACTGTCGTCGGTTATCGTCAACTCGCCATCACCCGGTTGCAGCTCCCCGGGTTCCAGGCCTAACGCCTTGTTATTTCTGGTTGTGGGGCTACTTGAAGAGGAAGATTTTCACCACAAAACCCCAAACTGTTGCAGATCTTAAGACCAGTATTCGTAAGACATTGCCGCAGTACCAAAGCCCATGATACGACGGGTAATTGCAGGGTTCAAAAAAAGATTTGGAAACCTGCTTGGATGTCGGTGGATATCATATGAGATATGTCATATTCCATAAGTAAAAATGGTTTAAACTATAAAAGGTATCAAATTACCTGAGTACTGCCAGAATGATCCTGTTGGTCCTTACGGATTACGCATTTCAAAGAGCTTAAGTCCTCATCATCAGATCTTGTACAAGAAACACATCTATCACTTCGAAAAGGTCGTCAAAAGTTTAAATATACAACACGGACACATAATAAATAAACACATTTTACAATTACGGGTAGTCGAAACGCGTAATCCGTAAGGACCAACAGGATCATTCTGGCAGTACTCAGGTAATTTTATATCTTTTATAGTTTAATCCATTTTTACTTATGGAATATGACATATCTCATATGATATCCACCGACATCCAAGCAGGTTTCCAAATATTTTTTTGAACCCTGCAATTACTCGTCGTATCATGGGCTTTGGTACTGCCCCCTATAAAAAAGTAATTTCTGGCCATATATGGCCATATCAAAATTCCATATATGGTTTCATAAAGCCATATATGGTTTTTTATGGACATATATGGAAGCAGATATGGCCAGATGTGGTTGTATCCATATATGGTGGTGTCCATATATGTAGTCTATATATGGAATTATTGGCCATATATGGCCATACATGTTTTCTATATATGAAATGATTGTCCATATATGGCCATACATGTTTTCTATATATGAAATTATTGCCCATATATGGCCATAAATATCCTCCATATATGGAATCATGGTCTTTATATGGCCATATATGACTCCCAGGTATGGAATTAAATTACTCATATACGGAATAATAATTTTCCATTTATGCTAATGTATAAATGAGTTTTTGACAATAACTGGAATTATTATAAGGAATAGTTGCCACATTTGGATTTTGTAACTGGACTCCCAAACACTTCTTATAATATATATAATACTATAAATCTTAAAGTTTGTGAGTTTGTGTATTTTCTTGTTGCTCTCGGAAGCACAAACTACTGAACTGATTGAGTTGAAATGTGGTACAGTGGGGGGGCAGATAATATAGGCATTTCTCATTTAAAGTAATTAGTAGTAAAGTAATAAAGTATCCAGATTTGAACCCAGATGACAAAATCCTGTACATACATCTATTGTACAATTTTATTATAACGCAACAAAATCTTAAAACTGACGTATAATTTTAAAATTGTAAGTGTAGTAGGCCTAAATAAAGAGAATATTATATTAATAATTAATTTATTGTACCTTTGCTATCAAACAGCTGCAAATATCTATGTCACGTAGTTATTCTATATTAATAATAAAATTCTTCAAATGACATAAAATGTCTAAGAAAATCTTGTTTTACGAGACCAAATACAGCTTCTCTTATTCGTAATGGGTTTTGTAAAGACATCTGATATGAAGCGGTTGTGGTGTAGTGGTCAAAGGGGGTAGACTCCCACGCTGGAGTCCCGGGTTCAAATCCCAGTCGGCTACTAGAAAATTTTGTTTTGAAATTTTCAAATTAAAAATTTTTATTATGGTTTTAATGCATAGTTTATAAGATTTAATGTGAAAATATGTTTAATTGTAATTTTTTTATTTATTTATACCATAAATAGTACCATAATCAGTGCAAGGAAGGCCACTTTGTCAGGGAACTGTAGGAAAATAACTATTGTACGTATGGCGTTTTAACTGGATTAAATTATGATAACTGAACTCCATCTGTAGTAGATAGGTTTTTGGGCTGTGGCTAAAATGTAGGGTGTGTTTTTAGTGCAAACAATAATCTATTATCTATTATAGGTCAAAAACCTTAAGTCAACAGTTCAACAACACTGTGTACTTCAACAAGAGGTGGTGAAACTCACGACATGTTACGCCTATTCAGGCATCGTCAAGTGATATTTACAAGAATGTTTCATCCAAATTAGATTCGTCATTACAGTCAAATAAATACACATTAAAAACGCAACGAAAACCCATTTAAACATTTAGAGTATGCCGACAATGCCAGTCACGGTACGGAAGCAAACTGGCTGGAATCAGTAACCCCGATCCCTCAAACCGATCATTTCTATTGTTGTTGGCTATTATGGCGTTGGAAATTGAATGTGATTTGAAGTTAAGCTGGTGGTTTAAAATATAGGGTTTACTGTGGTTTTCTTGGAAACTTTTGTATTTAATTTTAAAATTCTTCTAGAGAATCTAATTTATTTCATTTTTTTCAAATATGAAGAGTTTCCAGGTTATTGTTGATTATATCTACGGTGTGAGTTTTCTCCAATAAAAGCTGGGCAATAGTGGCTGCTCTGGGTTCGGGACCATGTCCTTTGTGCCGTTGGGTAAAGGTCCTGCACGTTTGTCTGATGTAAAAATCAGGACAATCCATACATTTTAATTTGTAGACTCTAGATTTTCGAGTTAATTACCATGGAGATTTTTTTACTATAGGGATTTTCTGCTCTTATTGGTATTTCTGACGCTCTATCTGGCATTCAGAAATTTCTGACTGGCAGGACCCTTTTTGCTGTTTGTACATATTTTAATTCAAAGATGTATAGTTTATGTTCAACTAAACCAAAGTATAATAAACTATTGTATGTTTTCTTTTACAGGACATTACAGGGGAAAATCTTACACTAGTGATGAAACAAAAAAGAACTGGTTGGTTGTAATAATAAAAATAAATAATAAGATAGGCCTGTAACATTTTTCAAAAGTAGAGTCTTGATAAAAATACAAAATATTTTTTTATTAGAAAATAAAGATATACAAAACTTTTGAAAAATAGTTTCTTACAAAAAAAAGTAAATAAATCATATTTAAAACCAACTATTTGTCCAAAAAGTGCACAAAACGATAAACCACTGAAAGTATTTTAATAACTACATCACTGAAAATGTTATTTCATGAACAGTTGATTGGTGCCAAGTACTTTGTAAAACACTTTCATACAACATAAATATTATAGACAAATCATCGACTGGTTCAAATCGGTCGTTTGCCAGAATATAAATCACATTTATGTGTTTACACAGACCAAATGAAAAATTTGTACAGCTAAAGAAAAGAAGTAAACAAACAAAGCAATATATGTTCTTGTAGACATTGAAATGTACTACACAGTTAGGCAGATAATTTATTTCCCAAACGAACTTTGCCACCGGATAACTATAGGTGAATTTACAGTGATTTACGGCGATAAATTACCATTGAAAGTAAAGTAGTTTTGTTTTAAAACTTCTGTTAGCAGTGCCATCATTTTGTGCAGATTGTGTACCATTGTTGGGCTATTAGTACATGTGGGCCAACGAGATCCAATACAATTTAATTTGGATGAAACGTTCTTGTGAAGATCACTTGACTTGACGATTCTTGAATAGGGAATAGGCTAAACATGTCGTGAGTTTCACCACCTCTTGTTTAACTTATGACGTTAGGTATCCTTATAATACGTGAGGGCGATTTCTACGAAACACTACTCCTCCGTTAATAATGAACGGATTTTTACAAGCGATGTGTCAAAATAAAGTATTTTTTTGTGTAAACGCCCCCTTTTACCAATTCCTGTAATAAAGGTCCTCGGGCTTTGCCCCACAGGCCATCAAAATATCAATGTACTTCTTATTAAGAAAATATTGTGTTTACTTAAAGAGACAAATGTTATGTTAATTACAGCTGTTCATAGTAAACACATGATACACACAAGAGCTTTCGTTTTCAGAGTGAGTTCGTTTCCAGTTTCGATAACTGGAGTGGAGTGATTGATTACATAATCTTTGAGTTGACTTTTTTAATTAATCGGAAATTACTACTGTTATTAGTTTTGAACGCCTGTAATACTTTGCAATTGCTCGAATTCGAGAAACAGGTGCACTAGTGTACCTATAATAGTATAATTAAACAGTTCAGGGGCCACACAATGAATTTATCATATTTCATGTATCTATTAATTTAAACTATATTTTTAAAGTACATGATCTGAGGGATGTTATCTAGATGTGGCAGCTACGTATCTTTACTTCTATCGTTAGTCTTGAATACTGCAGTTTTATACAATTCACCTTATTGTATAATCAGAGCCTTTTCAGAGGTATACTAAATATGTTGTTATTATTTTCAGGATGATTTCTACATACAGTTGTAAATGTTGAATATATTGTGTTTCATTATCAGAAGGCCGCATTTTATAAATGATTTATTCTATTTTTTAGTCTATGAAACACTAATAAAAATAAATAATAAAATTATTCTAGATGTTAAATACCTGATTGTTGCCACTGTAATCCCCTGTCGTCTGGATGGCGACCGGTTTCGACACTCATGGTGTCATTGTCAAGCCGTAAAGACGTGTTGTCACTCCTAGGAGGTCGTCATAAAGTCTTGAAAATATTTAGAAAATATTTATGACGACCTCCTAGGAGTGACAACACGTCTTTACGACTTGACAATGACACCATGAGTGTCGAAACTGGTCGCCATCCAGACGACAGGGGATTACAGTGGCAACAATTAGGTATTTAACCTCTAGAATAATATTGTTAAGTAATCCGGAAAGCAACACCTCAAAAAATTTAAATAATAAAGACTGAAACACCCACTCACTATATTAACAGTCATCAACCTACCTTAAACATTCAGCTGTCCATAACGATTGTAAAATCTTGTGAATGGCATTGCGATAGTTGAGTGAATTACAAACTCATGGTAATTTAGGTGCCAGATTAAAACACGTAGTTGGATTACAACACGTGTTCGGTTTTAGTCAAGTGACCTAACTGATATTCAAATACGGTCATCATAAAGTAAATGTTGAGTAGTTCCAATTGGTTGTTATTTCTTAAATACTACAATTGTTTACTGTCACCTAAAGTATTATAATTTTACAACAGTTATGATGTAACATTAGTATTCCGCTTTAACGCATGTATTGCTAGCCAGCAACAGAAGTCAAACAAATCAAACCTAATTCATTCCGTGAAAAATAAAAATTGTTTACAAAAATTACAATACAGTAATTCAAAAAAATAATGGATACTGGAAGTACTCAGGGAAGTACTAGTGACTTACATACAACACATCCCCTATGGCATATATGTCTTCTACATTTGTTTTATCCCCTTCCTTAACATCTATGTGTCCGTCTTCAGTTTTGTCAACTCCCGCATTTTCCAGCTTGAGTTGCGCAGTCTGCGGTGTCCGCCCTGAAGCCACCATAACAGTGTCGAAGCAGTCTACTTCCTCCTCCATGCTCTGATAAGGATGAGAACTGTCATATGTATTGTTTTGATTTCATATGCAATACTTGTACTTTTAACATAAGTTTTTTCAAACATCAAAAAGAGGCATCTCTTTGCCTAAATTTAAAAAATCATACTTTATAGCTAACATTTTACGTTGTTGGCTCTCGCAATACAATAATGTGTTTAAATCGTAAGCTTTCTGGATTCCGTTTATTAAGAAAGATCATTAATCCAAGGAAAATATTAAGAAGTAACAGATCAATGGTATTTGTCAGAAATTTTGATTCAAAACTATAGTAAAAACCGATCCTAAGCTAAATACTTTTTAAGTTACCCTAACTTGTTGGACCTCAATCAGCTTCATATTAAATGGTACGTGTTGATGTCATCACCTAGCAAAACCAACCATACAGTTACAAAAATTGTACTATTCGTGTTTTGTTAATTAGTTAAATGTTTTGAAAAATACGAAATTCTTATCACAAAAAATATCCGCAAACATTTATGTACTATTATTGAAAAAAAACTCACTCTAGTTTTCCATGTCACGCAGCGTTTCAGTCTTTTTCCTAAGAACCAAGACCATCCTTTCTTTTCGACAATCGAAGTGGCTTTAGTGTTTAGTAGAATTTTGACGTTCCTAGATCGTAGGTCCCGTACCATCTTTGCTACCATTATTTTATCCATATCCTTCAACACCTTATTTCGTACTATCACGGTTACGTCGAAACCCATTCCATTCAGAAAACCTGCAGACTCCATAGCAATATCTAAGAAAGGGTTAGTTAAGTAAAATATGAAAACTATGAAAAATAAATGTAAAATATGTCCAGTTTTAAACTTAAGAGTAGGCTTAATATGTAACTGAAAATTACTTATTCCATACACGAAGTAAAGGTCACTATTGCAATACTCATGCGTGTCAGTTATCAAAAATTTTATATACCTACTTTTATGGCTATTGATTCCTAAACTACAAATTAGCTTAGAATAGTTAAGATCAACTCAAAAGGATACAGCCGCCTCCTATAATGAGGGTTTTTCCGGGTGGGTTGCTGAGGGAGAACAGGTCGTCACTAGTAATAGCGTACTGGAGAGCTCCTGGAATTTCAGGATACTTCGGCCGTCCTCCTACAGCGATCAGAATATACTTCCCTTTGACTATTTTGGTGTTCGTTGACAGCTCGCCAGTTTTACTTTTCTTTTTCACCAAGGTCACCTTTACAGTTTTTGCATCCACAAACTCTCCCAGGCCATTGAGGTATTGAGTAACGCTGTACAATAATAACTATCAGAACATTAAATTCTATAGAATTCTATAGAACACAAATAATAAAATATTCACTAAATAAATTACTGTTCCTTTTACACAGATTATAGATAATGTACATAAGTACACCGTAAAAAGGCTATTAACAAGTGCAATCCAAATATACTGATATTATAGGCCTATATAAGTTTGAAACATTATTCCGTACAGTTTATTTTTAGTATTTTAAAGTCACAATCTAAACGGATCTTAAGGATTTGTTTATTACATATAATAAAATCATAGTTTTTTGTATACATCCCGTCTATATGGACCAGCTGTCACCAATGTACCTACAAAAGAACAGAGTTGTGTGAGCCAGTCACAGAATGTGCTAGAGTCCAAAGTTCTATCGTCTACCTTATTTTTTGTTGCTGATAAAGTTTATGAGTTATAACAGTTGCTATAGCTCACAATAAGTCATTCCATCAGTTTGACTTGGTAAACAAAGTTCAAGTATTCCACAGAAATCTGTATCAATAGTCAAAGATAATACAAAATACACTCACAATAATTTCTTATATATTACTACTAACTAAATTATTAGAGGATTAATCAATTAGCCGCATGGAAACACATTTTTACGTTACCAAAACTTGATCGAGCATGTAGAATTCATAAGGTGAATAGATTAACTCTTACTCATTGTTGTGGCTTGCCCCTGAACTGGTAAGACAAATATAAAATAATAGTGGTTTATTTACCTTCACTTTCGTCCCAGTTCAATAAAAGTTGTAGTAACTACAGCCATGGTTTCGACGCTAGTTGCGTCATGGTCATGTAGTTAGCAAGTCGAGATATATCTTGTCATAGTCAGTCGCTTGGACGTCGTCATATTCACACAAACACGGACACGGACATTATCACACACGTACATTCTTAAATAGATAAAAATAAAAATGAGTGTTCTCCTGCCGGCTCCCGCGACGGTACAATTTGATAAATACTGTTCATCACAGGCCTGTGTTCCGTCCACGAGAACCTTTTATTTTAATCTATTTAAGAATGTACGTGTGTGTTTATGTCTGTTTCCGTGTTTGTGTGAATATGACGACGTCCAAGCGACAGACTATGACAAGATATTTCTCGACCTGCTAACTACATGACCATGACGCAACTTGCGTCGAAACCGTGGTTGTCGATACTACAACTTTTATTGAACTGGGACGAAAGTAAAGGTAAATAAACCACTATTAAATCAACTTTTTCCAACATTAAAAACTTGTACGTGCAATATTACTGTACTTTTTATAAAACTTTACACACCAAAACGTTTGCAACTATTCTTAATTCATAGCTCTTTAAGTAAGAATAGCAGGATATGTGAACTGAAACAATCGTTCAAAGAATAGGTTAAACTGAAACGTAGGTAACCTAAAAATATGCCTAGAACATTTTTTAGGCATCTACCAAAACAATTGCTCTTTTTTAAGACGTTTCTGGTCTCTGCAAAGAAAATGTTAGGTGTTCAATACACATGTCATCTTACATTGTTTCCTTATCTCCCGTTAGCTGGTTTCGTGTTAAATCGCTGGTACCTTGTACGTGATCTTGGACTGCACGAACCATTTTCTTCCAGTTAAGCTTTACTTCTTCAGGTTTATTGATTTCCCACCCATAGTGTGATGCATCCTAAAATCGCACAAATCACTCTAGATGTAAAGAATCACAGAAAAGGGAATAAGAAATTATTCCCTCGTCTGGTAGAATGCACTAAAAGGGTATTACAAATTGCACCTCGTGGTAAAAAATGCCCTATCCCCTTTACTAACTCCTCCTCGCGGTCGAAACGACCATGCCTAGGGTATGGGAAATTGCGCAACAAACTGCGCCTCCCGGATAAAAAAAAAACATCCATTTATTTCTACTCGCCACCTAAGATGTTTATGCGAGTAATGTAATATTTAAGTTTGTATAAGAACAATACGCCTTTAGTAGGTCATCCAAGCAAGCTAAATTTGTAAAAGATACACAAGGTAAATGTAGACCTTTACTTTGAAGTAAACACAGGTACCCCTCAGCTTTAGGGGTCGACCTTTACCTAATTTTAAAACAAAATTAATTTAGATTATTAGTGCTAAACGTTGATTTTGAGAAACCAGGGCTAAATATTTGTAATCAGTTTTCGGTCGAGGTATAGGCTACACAATATAAGTAGGTAAAGGGATTAGGGTGTTAGGCCCAAAAATGAAAGTTCAGAAAATCTATTTAATTAGAAAATGGAAAATCTAATTTACTGGAAACATTTTCAAATCATAAATCTTTAAAAAATACAAAAAGTTGTTGTACCACAAGCCAATTCTTTATTAACACACCATACAATTCTCAAAACATTTTCAACAAATGTAAAGTAAAAAAAAAAGTTAAACTAAATAACAAATTCAAATAAGCAAAATGTTTGTTAACCATATTTAAATAAAAGAGTATCTTTATTTTTTAATGTTTTTATTTCATAGTTATTCAAGTATAAATCATTTTTGTGGAATTCCCTATAGGGAAGTAGCTATTACCGTAGACCTATTATTAACGGTATTAACGGCTATTAACGGTAAGACCTAGGCCCGGGACCGATTTACTTTTTCATTTTGATGTCCCCAGAGGCCAAAAACACCATTCGTTCAAATTTATATACAGGGTGACAAAAAAGTCTGGAAACGGCTTGATATATTTTTAACTAAATTCGTGAGAAAATTCAAACCTTTCACACCAACTTATTTGTATGAAAACTACTTTTTGCAAGCATTACCATTTTTTTTTACCTTCACCAGGGGACGGCCCATGAGGAGTAGGTAAATAATATTTAATGTAAGCATAGGTTGATATGCACGTCATTTTAAAGGTCTGGTTAAGTGGAGTTCATTGCCGGAAACCGCGTCAAAAAAGGATAATCCGTTACAAAATGGCGGCAGTCCAAAGTTCTTGCGGAATATACCTGCACAGGCCTAAGTATTGGCATTGACTATGAGGAATGAATCCAATGAGTCAATGGTATTGGTAAAATACTCATAGTCAACATTAGCCGGGAATTCTGAAACCCGATTGAATTTGTTTTGGGGATTGAATAAACTTAGTCAATGAGCTAGTTGACTTAAAAATACAATTTCAGCTCTCAAGCTAATGTTTAATACGAGTATTTACCAATACTAAGGCCTGTGGAGGTATTTTCCGCAAAAACTTTGGACTGCCGCCATTTTGTAACGGATTCACTTTTTTTAACGCGGTTTCCGGCAATGAACTCCACTTGACCGGACCTTTAAAATGATGTGCATATCACATACCTATGCTTACATTAAAAATTATGTACCTACTCCTCATGGGCCGTCCCCTGATGAAGGTAAAAAAATGTTAATGCTTGAAAAAAGTAGTTTTTATAAATGTAAGTTTATGTGAAAGGTTTTAATTTTCTAACTGATTTAGTTAAAAAGATATTAAGTCGTTTCCAGATTTTTTTGTCACCCTGTATATAAATGTGTGTGTGTCTGTGAACGCGATAACTTGAGTAATTTTTGTCTGATTTAGATGAAATTTGGTTTGGTAATGGAAATTTGGTGGTATTAACTTGAATGGGTTCGCGAACCAGCATGATCGTACCATGGGAACAGGGTTTTACGGGGGGTTTTATGGGGTAAAAATTGGTCTTTCTAAATTTTTGACCCTCAAAACACAAAATTTCCAAATTTCTCTCATGACCTTTTTGAAGAGTTAAAAAACCAAACAATTTAGTATATCAAAGTGTTTTTTTTACGGTTATTAGTAACGGAGAAAAAAAAAAATTGTACATTTAACATTTCCATGTTATTCTTATGGAGAATATTGTAAAATGTTGTAGTTTGCTTATTTATGGATATATTTTGATCAAAGTTTGCAAATTTGTTTATTTTATACTAAGCTAATAATATTTTACAAAAAAGTACGCTTTATTAGTTTTCTTGTAGCAGCAAACCTAGGTAATTAAATCTTTTGTTATTTAAATAGATTTCATTGGAAATCAATTCAGACAAATGGAAATTCGCTTACTCGACAGGTTTGCTGCGGCGAGGGTATGTTTATGCAAACAGGTGAATAAATGTATGATTTCTTTAGCATCTATATATCAATTACGTAAGCCGATTCTTTTCGTCAAAATTAATTGTGGGTGACTGGGATGTCGTAGAAAGACGAGAGATCCCCTGACGGCGGGAAATGAGTGGAATTTCCAAAACTTTAACACAAAGTTAGATATAACGTAAAATACTGTCCATAGGAATAGCATTAGAAGCTATTTACAGCTTATTTTTGTTTACTTTTGTTAACATATGTTATATTCACATTTTATTTCTAACATGTGTTCAAATTATTATTATTTTGTTTACTTTTTGAATTGTTTATGTTTACTTACAGATTGTGATTCAATAAAAGCCTACTATCTATTTCCTTATACAAAATGTGAACTTCAATTAGTAAAATTAGTGGAATCAACAATGGTGACGAGTAAAATGGTAAGTAGAAAAGAATTTGACTTATATCTAAAGAAAATAAAATTACTAGAACTACGCTTGAACAAACTCAAGGATGAGTAGTGACAATAGAAGAATATTACGGCACTTGGGGCGTTTTTTCACATAAGATTAACATGGGATCATTTTTTGGCCACCAAAACCAAAAATCCTGATCTTTGCCTAAATATCCCTATATAATTGTCAAACCCTATTTCTTATTTATTCCCCATAAATATATTCAATATCAAGCTAAAAAAGCTATTTCTTACATTTATTGACCCTTACAAGTGTGTATGTAAAGTAGTGACAATTGAAGAATATGATGACACTTTAGGCACGTTTTTCCCATGTTATTCTTATGGGGATTATTTTTGGCCACTTTTTTTAAGACCCTGCTCTCGGCCTATAAAAGCCTATATTAATGTTCAATACCATTGTACAACTTCATTACTATTTCTAATCAACATCCATTCACATGTATATTCTCAAAATCACCGACTTGACAGTGCGAGGTTTGTACGCGAACTCGGGCGCTCTCCCGACCTATGGTCGGGCTCCTGCTTCTTGCCTCTAATGGCGAGGCTGTGAAATGGTATCTTTTGTGGAAATCCATGAATTCTGGCTACTTGGGAACCCAAGCCATTTGACATACAATAAGTCACCCTTTCTCCTAATTACCTTCTCTACCAAATACATGTCTTTATACTTGGTCTTTAACAACTCCTCTGTATAGAATCCTCCCCTGATTATATTACCATTTTCATCTTTTAAGATATAAGTCACAGGCTTTGTATTCTTAACTTCTGCTATTGTAAAAAGCTCCCCTGTCTAATTTGGGGTATATCCTTTACTAAAAACACGTTTATACTTAGAAATCCTTACGCTATCACCTAACTTATATCTTGGCTTTTAGCGAATTTCCCATATAGAGAATGAGCTAGTACCGTAGTACTCATGGTAAGACCTGGACCCGGGACCGATTTACTTTTTCGTTTTGAGGTCCCTAGAGGCCAAAAACGCCAACCGTTCAAATATATATATATATATATATATATATATATATATATACTATTATATAAAAATCTAATGGTGTCTGTCTGTATGTGTGTTACTAATAGGTACAACAACTACTGAACCAACTGGGCTTAAATTTTACAAAAATATAGCTACCATACCAAGAACCCTTATAGGATTATTCACATTTTGATACTGACCGTAGGCTTTGCCCCTTTGGCTTTAAAAGTTCTGAGGGGAACATTTTAAAAGTAAATATTGATTGGTCTCCTTGACTGCGATTAGAACACTAAGAACACTATACATTTGCTTTGACATTTAAATGTAAACAAGAAGAACTGCTAAACTGCATATTTCACAATTTCAGACAGCTGATACAAAGAAATTAAATATAATATTTTCCATAAATATGAGGTAGGTTTATTTTAATCTTACCTTTTATCATGGATTATTTATTCTAAAACTATGTCAATGATTATAGAACAAAAAATATTCTATAACCGTTGCTGTATCAACTCCGGCTCTGCTTTGGATTTTTTAAAGCGTCTAAGTTATGAAAATAATGTTATCGATATGTTATCATGGAAACAGTATAAAAATTACAATATATAGATGTTTTGTATGAATTTGGAGGCTACTTTAAAAAAATTCTAACTGCTTGACATGTGGTAGATTAACTTAACATAACTTGCACATCACATTGTTTTTTATATGTATATTCAGGTAAATTAAGTTATTGTGTTTTGCTTAACCTATGCTTAAATTAAACTAAAGAATATCATCAATAACTAAATTGTAAGTAGTTGATTTTTGTTTCCTAAAATCAAAATCAAATCTTAATTTGCACAAAACATTTACATGATTACACATTGTAACCTTAAATAGGTGCATCGTCAATACAATTTTTTAATTATCACATAGAGACAATACTCATTCAATACTAAATGAAACAAATGATATTTTAGTCAAGATGGCGTCTACCTGCAGAATCCCAGTATTCATTAAATTCTGAAACTTTGTACATGGACAAATCTATCAAAAACTGTTTTAAAAACCTTCTAAAATTAGTTAAATTGAGATTTTTTACATGTTCAGGCAATCTGTTAAACATTCTTTTACTAACCTATAAAGTTGAATTAA